TCTTCGGGAAGCAGTTATGGTTCCGTCAGGACGACGAAGTGCGGTCATCTTTGTCTTGAAGTTGACGAAGCTTCGGCGGGCGTTGCGTATACTTCTTCCAGCCTCCGCGGCGTCAACCATCACTGCTACTCTTCTCTCCTTAAGGTCTTCTTTTATCGCTTCTCTGCATCGCTTCGCAAGCTCGGACGTCAGTCGGTAGTTGCCTGTGGCTCGTGCGCGTCCACGTTGGCGTATCAGCTCCAAAGTCCCCGTGGTGAGACGCCTTCTCGTACTTCTTAGACTCTGAGCTTCCTTGGCACAACCGTGGAGATGTTGTACGAACCGTTCGTATTCTTCGTCGATGTTGTCCATCACGGTATCTCGCCATGAGCCGGATATCGAAGAAAACAGATCCCAGTTGGTGGTATTCATGGGACGATGTTTCCTGAACTTGACGGCTCTCTCTCTCCATTCCGCGGAAAGTAGAATTTGGCGCGCAGGAGACGATGGTCTGATCCCGTGTAGAACTTCGGAACAACAGCGACGTCCGTCAGGCAGTACCTTCTGTTGACGATGATGTGGTCAATCTCGTTATGGTACTCTCCACCGGGCGATTCCCAGGTCCAGCGTAGGGAAGAGGGCTTCTGGAACTGTGAGTTTCCATGGATAGTCCTCGTCGTCATGATAAACTCGGACAGTCTCTCCCCTTGTTCGTTCCACTGCAAACCATGGGTTCCGATGTGAAGTTCCTCAGTCGACCTTCTAGTTCCGATCTTCGCGTTGAAATCACCGACGATGATCTTGTAGAAGGTATGATCTTCTCTGTAGAACTTCTCCAAGTCCATATAAAATTCCTCGAGTTCGTCCTCGTCGTAGCTGGATGTTGGGGCGTACGCAATGAAGACGGTCAAGGCAGGGATTGATCCACATCTTGATATTCGCAAACGTCCGATTCGAGTTGTAAGTTGTTCGAACGAATCGATGTTCATGGCCAAACTCGTGTTGACAAGGACTCCTACTCCACCTACTCCTCGACTGTCGCATGTTCCTAGAAACAGTTATTCTCCAGTCTCAAATGTGGCGTTCAGCGGGTGGTGCCTCCTTGTCTCGGTCAGTCCGATGACGTCGTACTTAATCTTCCTTGCTTGCATCATGAGATCTTCGATAGATGCGTCCGATGCCAGCGTCCTCGCGTTGTAAGTACAGATCGTCATCATAGTCCGTCTCGTTTTCGGCAGCCTAGATCGCCTTTCAAACCTTGTCCCCACTGGCGCTGCCTTACCAGTGGCTCTTCCAAGATTAAAGGAGCTTTCCATATTATCACTGTGTCGAACAAGAATTTACTCGCAGGGATAGCTTGTTGGGCTCAAAACCCCCGCGAGGGACGATCGGAGCTTATTTGTTGGAGGCGACTCCTAACTCGCCTCCCCACACACCTACCCGGGAAATTAGGGCGCAAGCTTTTAGTGGAGGCAGGGAGTCCGTCCTCCGGCTCCGCTTGCTTATCAGAGCAGGCGCGGGGTCGCTTTTGGTCGGCGATTATCCCCCTATCCGCCACCTGGGGACGCCCCACGTAGCCTCGCGACTAACCGGCTGTGATCCCTCTATGAGGGAGATCCGTGGTTATGGTTGATAGACATCCAAAATCAGTCTTGGCAATTCTAATCAGCGAAGTAAATAGTGTGGTAGTGTGTGTAAAAATTGAACAAGGTTCTCATGTCATGTGTGTAAAACTCGATAACTCCAAAATTACCACAGATTTTGCGCTCCTCTACCGTATTTGTTACCGTACTTGTTGACTCTTCAGACTTGCAAACCAATGCGGATTTGTTTATGCACATTAAGTCATATGTCATGAACGTATCAGGCTGCTGCATAAGTTCTGTACATTTTGAATTTTCAAGTTCAGAATATCATAACTTCATTCAAAATCAACTTTTTCCCATAATCTTAATTTCGGCACGTTGAGCAGTTCTTTATCAGATAAATACTAGCTTTCGCGAAAAACCCTGTTAAAGAAGAAGCAAGAACTCAAAAACTTTACAACTTCTTCTTCAAACCTTTTTTGAGATGGCAGTGCTCCCTTATGAGTGACAGGCATATTATGTAACCTTGGGCAGATAGAATGAAGTTCGAAGATTATTTTGCAACCTAAAAGTGCACATAGGACCTTCGATGCCCAGGGATTCTTTTGAACAAATAAAAACGAAGCTTTTTCAACCTCGTTTCAGTACATGCATTTTTGCCAACTTTTAAAACATGAAAACTTGACGCTTGCCGCAAGGGTTGGAAAGTAACTTATGGCTGGGCTCTGCCAGCTCTTGTTTTACTCTAGCACCTCCAACATTAGACTTATCGATTACCTTTATCTATGGAGAGTTATTGCCTGTAGCCTTTTGTACAAATAATTAGTCCTCAACAACAAATTATATTAGCAAGGCGTTTTTTTACATGAAGATGAGTTTGGCAAATACTAGACTGTTTCACCCTTATTCCTTGACCGATACAAGGACTTGACTTAGAGCATATTGTGGAGATTATCTTGCAATTACTTTCTCAACTGAAAACGTGTTTCGACCACTCGGGGCAGGGCTCGGCACGAGCTGGCACCAGAAAATTTTCAAAACGATGTCTCCCTTGACTTTTGGGAATTTTTACGAAGTCCCTTTTGATCCTCAACGATATCCCCTCTTAAATCCTAAAAAAACCCTAAAAACGAAACGACGACTAAAAGGTCGCCGTCGCCAATGTATATCTTCGCCCACAAAAACGAAACCCCCTTTGCTTTTTGCCCCAGAAACGATATCCAGCTTGCCCCGTGCCAGCTGGTGCCAGGCACTGACTCGGGGATAGACCTGCAATCTCGTCGGACCGGGGATTTTTCTTAAAGTATGATATGTGTTAGAAAAAGCAAGAAAAGCGCTTTCTAATGATGCAAATATCATCGCATGAGTGTAAATCTCTCAAAACGGTTGCTTCATATACAAAGCAAAAAATCGGACAGAACTTACGCAGCAGTCTAGTATAACAAGGTGCATGATCTATTAAAGGTAGCCGTCCAGAGATTGCATTTCAAAGAAAGATCATTTTCTTAAAGCTCAATATAAGTCTTGCACTGAAAAGGTTTAAACCTCAAACTTTGATTCTTGGGCATAGGGAGTGCTTTCTATAATTCGGTCTCCTGACTTGTTGTATATATAGATCGTGTTCATTTGTAATCCGTCCCTCGTTCAATCATTATCAAACTGACCTGTATAACATCATTTATTCTGCAACCCTAATCATGATCCTCCTCAGGTGTGGCGCGCGGCTCCGGGTCGGGAGTCGCATCGCGCGAGATGGCCGCTCGCCGCGCCCCAATTTTGTGCCTCACAATAACTCTCCAGTGCTAAAGTGGTACGGTGCCACAGTAGGGGGGGGGGGATACATTACTCGATAGCATAATTGACATTGCGACAGGAGTACTGACGGAAGCTGAGTCTTGTACCGCTTAATGTCGCGTTGCGGCGTCGTTTCGCAAAAAATCGTGACTCCTGACCGTACCCGTAGCGTGCCACACCCCTGGCTTGACTCTGGTGATTAATAACATGCTCTCTATGGATAGGTAGAAAGGGGTGTATGTCAAGAGGTGCGACTTTTATTGCCAGATGGACACCAAATAGCGCATAATAAGGGTTTTCTAACATTTTAAAAACAGTTGAACATTGGCAGAAGATATATTAGGCAGTTGCATGAGTTGCCTAATCTTGCTGTCTTGGAATAAATTCAAAATAGTGACTTTGGAGGTCAAAAACCCATGAAAATGCAGTTAAGGACAAATTTGTAAATATTTCGGTTCATTTTCAAGCAGAAGTCACTAAACTCAGCAAGTGGTAACCTCAGACAGATAGTAAGCCAATGCACTTTATCTGGTATTTTTTGGAGACTCGCATAACACTAAACTGGAGTTTTGACTTGGCGACAGCCGGAGAGATCGCGCCTCTTGACCGTCTCCCGGTAGAAAGTACTTTCGTTTTTTGCCCTTTTTGCAACATTGCCTAACAATAGCAGGAGATCTAAAAATTACGTACACACGTCAAAACAGTTCGTCCTAGCAAGTCATGCAACTTTTTCTCCGAACTTTCGCTACTGTGGTCTAGCTGGAAGCTGATATATCAAGCGAGGTTCTCCGTTATAGTAAAAGCTCCAGTTTTTATATAATTTCAGTCTTGCCCACCTGGAATCAAGGACGTGCTCAGTATGGTCCCTGGATATCTGGCACAAAATCAGTGGCCGTATTTATCAAAGAACCAAGTGGGTTAGCCTACCCAGTGGGAAAGCTTACCCGTGGTTCGCCTAACTAGTGGATAGACCAACCCGTGGTCGGTATTCACGAATGCCTCCGCTACTGGGTTAGCTTACCCAGCAGCCTTACCTCTCCACTACGTATTCAAATGGTAGACTAACCTACTGTCTGTATTCACGAGCGCCTCCACCGCTAGGTTAGCTTACCCAGCAGCGTGAGCATTGACGTCTATCGAAACCACGCTTTGCCGTTCTTACCGTGCACATTCCTTACATTTCTGTATTTTTTACAACTGTGTATGTACAACATCTCCACTCGTATTCACGGGCGGGCATCTCCGCTTAGTTATCCAACATAGAGCGTAAGTTTACATTGTTAATATGAAGTTGATTGGTATCACATATCAACTTGCAGTCGCGAAATTATCTTGATACGTTTTGAGTACTCCACCTCTTTTGTTATAAATCACTTTCACTGAGGGAAAGGTGCTTGAAATTCGTAAGTGCGCTATCTAAGAATGAAACCCCAACCTCTTGAAATCATAAATTCTCATTCTCGCTCAACATCTATTTTTTCGCAACATCTGTTTCGAGTTTTCTTGAAATTTTGGAAAAAAAATTTGAATCTTTTGGAAAATGTATGACGCGGGGCATGTACTTTTCTTCTTTGGTAACATAGTAGACTGTCCCTTTGCTGCAAAAACTTTTCTTCAATATTACAAAAAAGGCTTTGATGTTTAAATAGGATTCGGTGGTATTCTGATACGACGTACTACTGCCCATAGCCATTGCAGCTTCCTAAAACTTTTTTAACATTTAAAAAAATAGTCACATTACTTTGTTACCTATTGCGATCCTCGTTGTGTGCTTGGGTAAGGCACACACGATAAGTGGTACCGGAACCCACAAGTTCTAGGTAAGCTGTTTCGTGAATACCGGTACTGGGTGGGCTAACCCATTGAAGCTCTCTCGTAAATACCGGCATGGCGGCATTTCGTGGGTTGAGCCTACCCAGTGGGTAGACTAACCCACTGGGTAGTATACTTGGGACCGAATCGAATAATTATTCGATCATTCGAATAAATCATTCGAATGCGAATGATTCGAAAAGTCGAATATTCGAAAATCTGAGATTTCGAATAGAATTCGAAAGTCGAATATTTGAAATTTTCATTTTTCGAATATATTCGATAGTCGAATAATCGAAAATCTTCATTTTCGAATATTATTCGAAAGTCGAATATTCGAAAATCTCAACTTTCGAATATTATTCGATAGTCGATTATTCGGGAGTCATTCATTCATTCGCTCATTCGAAAGTCGAATATTCGAAAATCTCAACTTTCGAATATTATTCGATAGTCGATTATTCGGGAGTCATTCATTCATTCGATCATTCGATGTCCATCAAATATTCGATTATTCGTTGAGCACCGAATATTCGGAAATTCGATAAGAATTGACTGTTCGAGAATTCGATAAGCACCGAATATTCGAAAATTCGACATGCGTGGCGTATACGGGGTGTCTTAAAAGTATCTACACAGTGTGATCACTATCATAGGCTGTATCAACCAGCATCGATCCCTCGTTAGCATGCCTTGCGAACACGCGCGGTCGCATGCGACGTGCCTTAACGCGTAGCAGTGTTCGCACGCGTCAGACCGCACCGTCGCAAGTTGCCGCAAGCGCGACGTCGCATAACCGATGCTGGTTGGTACAGCCTATACCTCTCAAAGTCTTTTGCCAGTTTCTGGGTAACATCCAGTAGGGATGGCTTCAGATTATAAATACAGCAGAAAGCGAATCACCCATGTTTTTCATATTGTGTGTTATCACGGTAGGAAATTCTAGCATATAGACCAACTGCAAAATAAGAATCCAAAAAAATTGTCCCCAAAAAAGGTCTAAAACTGTGCAGCAGTGTTTTTACGTATGCTAATTTTACTACGCACGGGTTTTCAAGCTTTTCAATTGACAATCACATTTTTGAAAGGCGTTGAAAAACATTTGTTACGGTGTACCTGGCGTAAGTTTCGGAAAAAGCATTACGGTTGAGTGCAAATACTACATAAAGTGAGTGTCTTTAGAAGTCTAATGAAATGCTTCCGGCCCTTTTGATTCTTTTTCTTGGGAAAATAACTCTTGATGTTTCGAAACCCGCTTCAATCTTACGGTAATTTTACAACAGTGAAAAGCAAATGATAAATCGCCCCATACTTCAAGTTGATGTCAGCCTACAGATCTATATATTGTTGGGACCGTTGTATACCCAATCGCAACTCTCAGTGAGATCGCAACTCTCAACTCTCGGTATACACGCTTCTTTGAAGTACGAAAAATCTCTTCACAACCGTCACAGGAGCAGCTTACGGGTTCCTAAGTCTTTTCACGTCACGACTAAACCGTTTTTCTGCCGTAAATTGTAACATAAGAAAGTGTCCATTCTTAACACTTAGATACATGAAACAATTTATTCTTGGATGTTTTGGCCTTTCATAGGCAGTCTCAATGACGTAAATTATTCTATCAGTATTTGAAAATCGAATGATATTCGAAAATCGAATAACATTCGAGAATCGAATAATATTCAAAATTCGAATAACGAATGATATTCGATATTCGAATATTATTCGATTCGAAATTTTCATTTTCGAATAATATTCGATAGTCGAATATTCGAAATTTCCGATTTTCGAATACTATTCGAAAGTCGAACATTCGAAATTTCCTATTTTCGAATAAAATTCGATAGTCGAATATTCGAGAATTTCGACTTTCGAATATTATTCGATATTCGAATATTCAAAATTTTCAATTTTCGAATATATTCGATATTCGAATATTCGAAAAAAATTCGAATTTCCCCAAGTATACTGGGTAGCATTGATGAATACTGCCACAGAAACCTTTGAAACATTTTTACAGCACTACTTTGTAACGGAGTTGGCCGGTTGCGACGAAGGTGCTAGTAGATGTGTTCTAAAGCTTGATCTGTGCTGCTATTCATGAATATTTTAGCCGTAAGAGATTAGAGGAATCTTGAAGCTAAATTTGCAACAAGACGAAGTTTAATATGTGTGAATGTTTAACATGTCGCTCGCGAGTACTGGGCGATTTTGCGAATGCTCAGACATTGTCTATCATTTATAAAGTTTATGTCTAGTTGCGAGCGTCGATTTGCACTGAAATCTACACGAAGCCTGTTCCTTTATATCAGTGCAAAAATGAGGCCGAGTTCAAATCTGCCCATCCTTGAAAATGAGCTTGGTGTTTGATTTTGTAGCAATGCCGATAAAGCGCAAGTTCTTGGAGAGCACTTTGCCAGAGTATTTAATTCTGGAGACGGTTTTGGTGCACTTGAAGGCAGTAGCGTGTGCCGAGAGCGAACTAGAATTCTCTCAATATTTTTTTGAAACGTTCAAAATGTGTCCGATTCCAAGACATCGCAGAAACTCCGCTACTGAAACTTACGATTGTTTACCTCAAACTGTATGTAAAGAATGTGCCTCATCGCTGGCTACTCCTTTAACACACATAATCAATACATCCATGCTGTTAGGTGAGAGGCCTACTTTGAAAGCATGCACTTGTGACACCTATCGAGGTCCAGGGTGCGAGTTGGTTAGAGAGTTTCATCCTATCAGTCTTTTACCAGCAGTCGCAAAAGTGATGGAGACCAAGGGTAAACTTTTGTCTTGGATCGATAAATCTGACCTGGTCCCTACTGAGCAGCATCTTATATATAAAGCTGAATGTCTGTCTGTCTGAACGTATGTGTGCGGAATAGAAGTTTTTATTTTTGAACTAAATTGGACCAAACTTGGCACACATACACTTCGGGGCGGGGTGTGTGTCATAGCGTGTCATTTTCGTTATCGATCGATATCGATTTTATCGATTTTTTTCGATTTTTTGCAGAGATGACCTACGGGGCTGGGAGTTGGCACATGGGGGTAAGGTAAGTAGGCATGGCGATTCCGAATACAATAATAGTTTCCGAATTATCGATTACTTTTATCGATGTTATCGATTTTTTTGAAATTTGAGCTGAAGGGCTGGGAGTTGGCACGGGGTGGGGAGTAACTGGGCATGCTGATTTTGAAAACAACACAAGGAAGGGGAAATGAAATGTAGAAGTGGGCACAGGGAAAGGCTGTACAGGGATAGGGATGGGATCGTTTGTTACAGTGTTTTGACAGGGCCGAGCGGAGCCGGGTAAGCAAGCTAGTGGTTTCATAAATGGAGCCTCTACGTCAACTAATTCAATCGACAGTATGTATGACTGGAGCCTCGCTTTTAATTATAATAAATGTGTTGATGTGCTATACATAGACCTAACAAAAGCGTAGGATAGAATATATCATGATATGTTACTGCTTAAACTCAAGAGATAGGCATTGATGGCCCGCTCCTGTTCTGGTTTACATCTTACTTTCACGATTGCTACATGACCGATAAGGCTCAGACCAAGTACTTACCTAGCATTGCACGAGCGTGTTCTTCAAGGAAAAGTTTTATCGAACTATTCCATGTGTTTTTTACACGTTGCATTTACCGGCCTTGCTTCGCTTCTCTCAGAAAATAAATATTCGGATGTATATGATGACTACAAGTTAACGGAATTTATGGTGCGGAGGACTGTTCTGAAATGTGCAGTTAGCTTTACAGCTATCCCTCGCTAAAGTAATGAGTTAGGCTTCGCCTTTAAAGTTTGACATTGATTCTTGATAAGAGTTGCCTACTGCATATAAGTAATGGTTGCGCTGGTGTTTATGTGGTGGACAATCTTGTGAGATCATACGGCTTAGCCAGAGACTTAGTACACGTTGATGCCAGAATTAAGTTTTCTGAACATATCGATGCTGCTGTAAGAAAACCGTACACCTCCTTATTTGTGCTCATTTGCGCAAGCAAGAGTAGCTCGCCTGCTTTGACGACGCGTCTCTGCAAAACACTTGTTCGTCCTCATCTTGATTACTGTAGTCTAGTTTGGAACCCTGCACGAAAAAGAATACTACAAACTGAAAAAAGTGAAAAACCTTTATGCGTCTCCTATACAGACGGGGTTCTGGCAGCAATCTTCCGGGTTATAGCACTCGTCTAAGATTGTTTGACGGAGGACGTGGATAGAGTTAGGGTCGCCGAACTTGGAGGCCCCGCCTGCGGAGTTGGGAGCTGCAAATGGATCGTTGATCGAAGTTTTTTGGAGTTCATGAGACGCCGTTCACATGCAATGGTTTCGATGGCCAAGGATTATTTTACGTCACCAAGGACCTGTGTTTGTTAGGAATGGACATGCTGCAACAGCTGCCGCCCTTCCGAGATGCTCTTTCTGCTGTTTGCTGTGTTGTGGATGCCTCTTCACCACTGGACGACCGCCTCGCGGCTGAGTTCCCAGAAGTCTTCAAGGAGGAGCTGGGACACGTTAACAAGTTCAAGGGTCACTTGGTGCTGAAGAAGGATGCCACACCCGTCTACGTGCCGAAGCGGAAGGTACCGTTGCCGTAAAACCTCTCGTCAACGCAGAGTTGGACCGCCTCGTCGCTACAGGAGTACTATCACCCGTCGATTACTCGCAGTGGGCCGCTCCCATCGTTCCCGTCAAGAAGAAGAATGGAGCAGTGCGCATTTGTGCCGACTTCTCCTCCGGGCTGAACGATGCACAGGAGCTGAACCGACACACACTACCAACCGCAGAAGACGTCTTCACCAAGCTTGATGGAGGAACCGTCGACCTGCGTGATGCCTATTTACTAGTAGAGATGGACGACGAGAGCAAAGAGTTACTGACCATCAACACACCCCGTGGGCTTTTCCGCTATAATCGACTACCGTTTGGTGTTGAGTGACCCTGGGATCTTCCAGTCGTTGATGAGCAACGTCACCGCCGACATCAGTGGAGCCGTCGCTTATCTGGACGACGTTGTGGTCACCGGAAGGAATCGAGAGGAGCATGATGCGACGTGTTTAAGCTATTTCAAC